TTTGATCTTGTATTGGGGTTTTTACTACTATTAATTTCTATTATTATTCATCCAAAAGGAAAGGAAATTTATCAAACTACAAAATTGAAATTTGAAGACATTCTACTTAAGCTTAAGATGAATGCTAAAGTTTTGCAGCAAGTAAATATTCTAACTCATTAATATCGAATACAGAAAATCTAGTTTGAATTATTGCTTCAGATATAAAATATGATAATAATACCAATAACATACGCAAAAAAAATCATTAGTGATACCATATTATTAATTGAAATATAAATTTGAAGCCAGTCATGATGATAATCCTTAACTGAAGTTCCGTCTACTGGATTACTTATTTCATTTGTACTACAAAAACTGCTGTTGATTGCTGCCGCCAGTAATGTGTATCGATGAGCTAAAAAATTTTCTTTTTAGAATACTAATATGGTCATTGTAATCTTTCACTTTTGATCTCTTTGTCTGTAAAAAATTAGTACCCAACTGTATTCTATGGCTAAGATGACACAGAGCAAATGTATGAAGACAGTATTCAACTTGATGTGCTCATTTTATATCTTTCACTTTGTTTATAATATGAAGTAATGTGCTATTGGTATTTGGAACACAGAGTTCGGCAGTTTAGAGCTGTAATGCAATTTCAATTCTGAATTCAATCTGAAGATATTAAAGTTTACTCAACATTGTACTAGATCTAATGCAATTAATTTCATGTTTGTGTCAAATGTTTCAAAACGAAAGATCAGTTCTCATTAGCTATAGATCATTAAGCTAGAAATTGTCATTCAGTTTCCCTTTGATTTGCTTGGAATAAAAAATTTGAATGAGCTAAAAAAAAACTGGCTCTTCGTAGCCAGTGTTCTCATTACTTTCTAAAGTGCTTAAAGTTAAGAAATCCTTTTACAAAGTTCAGCATTCAAGAGCTTAGTTTAAACTAAATGTACTAAAACATTTTTACCGGGTGGTAATTTTCGTTGAACTCGTGACATAGCGCTGATGACGGATGTAGAGAGTAGGCTTATAACTGTTATGCTCAGCGTGAATACGTAAAATGTATCTTAAAAAAGGTAACATGTATCTGAGATTAACAATTATGAAAAATTATATAATTAGGTTGAAGACCGAAAATTTTCTTAACCTTTTCAGTTCAAAATGATGAATAATTTTAGCATTTCTTATTAAAGAGTCGGAATATTTATATAAAGTTTTCAGTTTTACTATGGAAAACCGAGTTCAATTGTTTTTTGTTATCACAAATGAATTCAGTCACAAATAATGGATAATTTTGTTGATGGAGCTTTTTGAAATTTTAATGAAGAGAGCGCATAAATGTTTTAATCATTCTCAGAATAAGTATATCTCACATTTTGATTTTGATAGAATTGGCTTTGAACTGTATTTAATACTTAATTTAGAAAACATAGATATGATCATTATTAAAAAATTAAAGTAAGAAACGATTCACATATGTTTGGTACAGTTTCACCAAATCCAACTTGGGGAGTTTTCATGGCCAGAAACGTGAAGCTAATCAGTTGAATGAGTATTGCAAATAGTTTGACATTGATCTTCAATATTAAATTATATATCAAAATAAAAGAACATATTCAGATTTTACAGAAAAGTATTTTTAAAAATTTATAAATTTTATCGACGCATGTACAAAACTCTTTTATATATTAGAATATTGAAGATCTACTAAAATATCCGTATGTTATATACTGCTCAAATATCTCTATCTATATTTGTTGCCCTAGCATTATTTCTCATGAAGCTTCAAGTTTTACATGCAAAACAATTCTAAACTTATGTAATACTGAGGTAGATTGCACTGGATTGATAAGAACAATCAGTTAAGGAGAATAGACGTTATGTCATTAAGTGCTATCAAGATGCTTTTAACATAATCATATTATCAATTGTGTACGTAAATTTAATTTAATAATATGCTTTACCTGATCACGGAATGAGCCGAAAAGTGGTGCAGTTACAGCGAATAATGAAGAAATCATCATAGGAAGCATTAGTTCAATGCGTAGCGTTGATGAGTGCCTCCGTACTTGCATGCATAATTCAATTATTTGCGCTCTGAAACATTACTACCCAAATTATTCGTTAAACTTTTGTAGAAAAGCATAAACAATTAAATATTTATTCAATTATATTTCAAATGTAATAAAATGAGATAAATGTAAAACTGGCCTACGATCATCTTCATCAAATATAATTTTGACAACCGCATCTTCAACATGCCAGTTGCTTCTTAATTTTGTTAAATCTACTTTACCTGAAAAATGGGATTTTGATTAATTTAAGCACAGAAGCTTTTACTTTGTAGTTTTCTTTTTCCAAAAATGTATTCATGGTTTTTTGATAATTTATATTTGTATTCAAGAAGATGCAAAGTAAAGCAAATCTATTAATGCAAATCAAAAATGCTTGTTACCATCTGTCTGAGACAAATAATATCGGATATAATGAGGATAGAGAGTCGATTTCATGCGAAAGCAGCATCTTTTATCGTCCTAAGTAATAATGGATATAATGAATGACAAAACTAAATCATCTTAATGAATGATGTAAGCACAGTGACAGAAAATGTTTCCAAATATTTTCGCTTAGAAAAAATTTCATATTTTTAAAAGTCTGAAAAAATTATCTCTAGAGTTTCAATTAAAATAGTTGAAACGCAGTTAAATCTAGTCTGTAAACAGTAAAGCAAACTTACGTCTGGAAAATTGGTATAATCAATGTCACAATATGCTTGCATTTTTAGTTCCAGCCTTCCCGTCACATTACCATTGTTTTTTGCAATTATATCGTAAAACTGCGCATAATCACCACTTTGAGAAGAAGTTTGAAACCTGCATTACATCCTGTTATTACATCTTTCGGCTACTACTTTTGTAATCATTTCAAATTTAGACATATAACTGTTATAATACAAATTATTAAATCGAGAATGATGAACACACATGAATTGCTTGTTCATCTTTCTTTTAAGATAACAAAATTAAGACTAAGCAGGTGGTAAGTGAAGAAATAAAAGTTTGAAAAATTGAAGAATGCAAACTTTCAATTGCAGCTCTACTTTCATACATAATTATAGTGCTTGAAAAAAAGTAGTTAAAAACACTAGTTAATATTTTTACACAATTAAGTAAGTACATCATATTAATTAACTTAGAACAACCTTATAAATACTGTTTATTTTTTCAATGTATATTTATGGTGAATCTACCACACTCAGTCATAGTTAATACTTCGAAAATGGTACTCAGTTGTAAAAAATACTCTATTTGACTAAAAAATTAGTTTTTTTCATTAGAGATAATTCTGACAAATTGCTTAGCTCTATTTTTTGTTATCATTAAATTCAATTTCAAACAGTATTTATACTGGTTTTACTGGTAATTTTTTCATGCATGAAAAAAATTGATATAATTTATAGTGTAGAGTATTATATATAAATAACTAAAATTTTAAACAAAAGTAACTTGTCGCTGTTGATGTCTGGAACCCATAGCTTTCCATACGAACGTATATTTAGTGTGTCTGTTTTCCAATCATTGAAACTCCATTTCATTCGACGATCTTTCCATGACTCGAAATTCAATTAAAAAATTTTATTATCATTTTAAAAATGTTTCATTAAGCATTTTCCAATTTTTTAAAACGTAAGATTTATACTTATCATTGTTTCCTTTACTAATGATTTTGCCCTGGGATCCAGGATTATGGTCCAGTGATTAAATAATGAATAAAAATAAATTAGTCTTAGATAATAATAGATTTCGATAGATAACTAGTACCTGCTTAGTACAGTGCCTAACTTGCATATAATTACTTGATATTATTATTTATTAATAATTTTTTGGAAAATCTTTCTGGCTTAGCTTACATAAACAAAATCTGAAATATCTCGAATGCCATCATAAATAGCAATTATATAAATATACTGCTCTTATCTTAAATGTATCACTCATTTAACACAAGTGCTTCTCAATAACTTACCAAATACTAAAAAATTCGGATTTTTTGCTCTACATTTTAGGTTGTATTTACCTTTTGTCTTAGCAACGTGAAGTTTAAGATTTCAAAAAGTAAATATTTCCAAATTTTCGATTATTTTCATCACAGTAAAGTTTGTAATATTGCAAAAATGTTGAAGACT